TTATCTACTAAAAGATAATTGTAAATTACATATACAGTGAGTGTAGAAAGTATTCTTACACCGATCAATTTGAAATAAAATGTTTTAAAATTGTAGCTAATTAACTAATTTTTTATAAACAATGAATTCGTACATATTCTTGAGAGTTTCTACAATAGATATAATGAAATAAAAAAATAATTGTTTTCAATAAAAAATGCATTTCCTTCTGTACTCGTCTCATTCATTGAAGATTTCACTTCTAACGTGTTGTCACCTGCATACATGTATTTTTATACTTAATGTCACGATGTGTAAGACAACTGCATTTAGTATATGGTTCATTATCGTTAACGGCCATACCGTGATGAAAACACAAGTTCTCGTCCGATCACTTAAGTTAAGCATCACTGGGCACGGTTAGTACTTGGATGGGTGACCGCTTGGGAACACCGTGTGCTGTTAACACTTCTCTTTTTTTTCTTTTTTTATTCTATTTTTCTTATTAATGAAATATTTTATTAATGAATGGTAAAAAAATCATCATCAAGATCAAATTTAATTTATTATTTTTTGATATTATCTTTTTGTCTTCTCTTTGTTTACATTATGGTTTATATACAAACTCTTTTGCAAATAATTCGAAATAAAAACTTTACGAATTGCTCGTATGTTATTGCCAATTTTTTTCGTTTTTCTTATCAATTTTTTAATTTATTCAAAAAAAATTATTTTTTATATCATTACATCTATTGTAGAAACTTTAAAGAATTTGTACAAATTCATTGTTTATAAAAAATTAGTAATAAACTACGTACGAAAACTTTCTACACCAACTAACACTCTACAAATGTATTTAATTGTCTTCATTTAAACCATAAAAAACGTTTATAGAATATGAAACAATAGTTGATATTTATTTAACTGTACTATTTTTGTTATTTTTTATTTTTTATTTCGTATCTTAAAGATAATATATTAATATTCAAACAAAAACAAAAATTATTATATCGGACGTATTGAGTAGAAAAATAAACAAAAACAAAAGAAAGTTGTTGTTAAAAAAAATATAAATAATATTTTAAAATAACAATAGCTATAAATAGTTATTATATAAATTGTTATAAATATAAGTTAAAAATATAAATAATATTATATATTTATATATATTTGTTTCCTTCTCTCTTGTTTAAATTCTAAATTAAAAATGATTAACAAAATTAAAAGATAGCAACAAAAATAACCAATGTATCTCTGTTTATAAATCAATCTACGTGGTTTTAAAAAATATTCAATGTTACGCACAAGTTCATTCTTCAAAAATAAAATTGTTCAGTATTATAATCATTTACTTATTTTTTATCAGAAATTATTTATTTTCTTTTCTTGTCAGTCGTCTTCTAAGTCATTAACTTAAATTTTCATTATATAAAAAAAGGATTTGCATTGTATAGGAAATTAGTGCATTTTAACGTGTTATTCTCTCATTATTTCTGTTTGGCAGCATTTTCTCGTTACTGTTTAACCCTTTGCACTATGCTGAAATTCGGAAGAAGCTGTGCATAAACCATGCACCCGAATGGCTGCGAAAAGAAACGAAGGGGCGGAGCCTAAGTGTCGAAATTTTAGTTTTCAAATTTATCTGGACTACAAGAATGTATTCTAAATAGCACGTAAAACTGTATTGGGAAACAAGATATAAAACACTCATACATATAAAGAAGAAAAGAGAAGAGATAAGATTTTACTCAAACATTCATACTTTGCTCGAGATTAAAAACACGAGTACGACTCGTGATATTCATATTTGGTCGGAACCAATCGATTACGAGTCAGACTCGTGATATTCGCGTTTGACATGAAATTTAATAACGAGACTGACTCGTGATATTTAAGTCTGATCTAATAGACTACAGGCCCGACCTAAAAAATCGATGGATCATCTGATCCCCCAGGAAACCTATATGGGACGATATAGGGGCATAAGATAATAATTTTTAGCACTATGCCGTTACTTGTAAGCTGTCCAACTGAGTGCAGGTGAGAATTAAAAAGCACAAAATAAACGGGTACTTTTTTATCAAATGATTTTATACGGCATTCTTACCACCGATAGATCCATCGAAAATAATGAGAAAACACGTAGTGCCGTTAGAAAATAGTAGGCCACAAAGTCGAAAAAAATTTTTGATTTTCCGGAAATTTATTGGGTTTATTTAATCATTTGATTTTGTACGGCGTCGGTTTCATACAATTTCAATACCTATTCTAATTGATTATTTCGCAACGCCGTACAAAAATCATCATGCAACAAGGGAGAAAAATCGAGGGTTAAAATTCACCTTTTTCCCTGGGTCCAGGGGGTGATCTGCATGATTTTTGTACGGCGTTGCGATATAATCAATTAGAATAGGTATTTAAATTGTATGAAACAAACGCCGTAAATAATCAAATGATGTAATAGACCCGGGGTTTTGTCAGAAAATCAAAAATTTTTTTCGACTTTGTGGCCTACTATTATTAAACGGCACTACGTGTTTTCTCATTAATTTCGATGGATCTATCAGTGGTAAGAATGCCGTACAAAATCATTTGATAAAAAAGTACCCGTTTATTTTGTGTTTTTGAATTCTCACCTGCACTCAGTTGGACAGCTTACAAGTCACGGCATAGTGCTAAAAATTATTATTTTATGCCCTTATATCGTCCCATATAGGTTTCCTGGGGGATCAGATGATCCATCGATTTTTTAGGTCGGGCCTGTAGTCTATAAAATTTCTCATCACAAGTCAGACTCGTGAAAATAATGCAAGGGGTTACAGGTTGAATGCCACACCAATTTCACCGGGAATGTCCGTGGTGCCACGATGTGGAATATATTTCTATTAATCTGGACACATCGGTCATCAGTGTCCCCCATGGCGTCACAGCCAAGTTAAGTAACGGTCACCGGTGACCCCCGTGGCATTCAACCTGTTAATTACTTTATCTTTTCTTTTCATAATTCCTCTCTAACGCGCGAGAAATCAACGATAACGAAGATCTTTCGATAAGAAACAACACTACGTAAGGTTTCTTCAAAGAGGGATACTTATATAAAAAAGAAAAATAAAGAAAAGAGAAATTATGCAAAGTGTTATTTTGTTTTGTTTTCTTTTGAATAATTGAATACCTTGAACGTTTGACCATGAGAATCCGTATCACTGTGTATGATTGGTTAAATAGTTAATCACAATCTTATTACACATTTAATACTATTCACGTGCTTTATTTAGATTATATAAATAAATGAATAAAGAAAGAAAGAAAGAACTGTTGAAAGAAATGAAATATAATTATATTCACGATAAAAATGCGTAATATTTGGAAAAAAGAAAATAAAAATAAAAAGGAAAATGCATTCACTTGATAATAAACAAAAAAATCACGTGACCAAAATACAGACTGTGAATTCACGCACTTGTTCAACCGACAAGGGGATTAACCTTTTTTTTGTTTCAAATTGTCAACAAAAAATGAGACAAATGAAAAACAATTAAATATAAAATATAAAAAGTAAATATAATTGTATTGCGAAAAAGGTCTGATATTTCGAAAAAAGAAAAATAAAAAGGCAAAATGCATTCATTTGATAATAAACAAAAAAATTACGTGACCAAAATACAAACTGTGAATTCTCGCACTTGTTCAACCGACAGGGGTTAGTTAACCTGTTTTTTTATTTTAAATCGTTGAAAATAAATAAGACAAATGGCAAACAATTAAATATAAAATATAAAAAGTAAATATAATTGCATTGCAAAAAAAATGTCTGATATTTCCAATAAAAAAAACAAAAACAAATAAAAACTCAATAATAAAAACAATTCCGTAACAAAAATACAAAATATGAATCCTCAAACTTGTTCACCCGAAAAGGTTATGGTTAACCTTCTTTTTTCGTTTTAAATTGTCAAAAAAAAACTAAAAAACAATTAAATAGAAAATATAAAAATTAAGTATAATTGTATTGCAAAAAAAAATGTCCGATATTTCGAATAAGAAAAAAAAATTAGAATAAAAAAAAAATGCATTCACTTGATAATAAACAAAAAAATCACGTGACTAAAATACAGACTGTGAATTCTCGCACTTGTTCAACCGACAGGGGTTAGTTAACCTTTTTTTTCGTTTCAAATCATCAAACATAAAAAATACAAAAATTAAAAAAACTTAAATACCAAATATACAAATTAAATATAATTGTATTACAAAAAAAATGTCTGATATTTCGAATAAAAAAAAATGAAAAATGCATTCACTCAATAATAAAAACAATCCCGTAACAAAATTACAAAATATGAATCCTGACACTTGTTCACTCGAAGAGGTTATGTTTAACCTTCCTTTTTCGTTTTAAATTTTCAAAAAAAAAATGAAAAATTGAAAAAAAATTAAATATAAAATATACAAATTAAATATAATTGTATTGCAAAAACAATGTCTGATATTTCGAATAATAAAAAAAAAGAAAAATACATTCACTCATTAATAAAAACAATCCCATGACAAAAATACAAAAAAAAGAATCCTCACACTTGTTCACCCGAAGAGGTTATGTTTAACCTTTTTTTTCGTTTTAAATTTTCAAAAAAAAAATAAATAAATGATCGAAGAAACGACGTTGTCTATTACCAAGACCATGAACGAAGAAATCGTTTGAGTATTAAATCTTGTAGAATATTTTCTTGGTAACACTAGTAGCAGTAGTACTATTAATAGTTAATAACAGTAGTAATAGTAGTAGTAGTTACTATTACTGTAGTAGTAGTAGTAGTAGTAGTAGTAGTAGTAGTAGTAGTAGTAGTATAGCAACCATTCGGACGAACGAAGTAGTAAAACAAATGATAAAGAACAATCTGATGCTGATGTTGATTTTCTTGATAATACGATGAAGATAATGATGACGATGAAAATATTGACGATGAAGATGATGACGATGAATATGATGATTGTGGTGGTTGTGGTGATGGTTGTCTTACCAAGGAAGAGAGAGACGTCGTACATACGCGTGCTCGTCGAGGAAGAAACAACGACATCGTCAAAGAGGAGGCTTCCTTGGCCTTCCCTCCTGCCGATTGACGTTTCACCTTCTTCCAAACAATTGTCTTCTCTAACTCGCGTGATTGTAACGTTGATTATAAACAAACCCGCGATTATAACAATCAATATATATATTTTTTTTGAGTCACCATAACTTGTCTGTGTGTGTATTACATATCAAAAAACAAATACTAACACAACGTACCAAGGATAAAATATATTACGCAAATATAATAAAACATATAAATTATATTACGAAAATATAAATAATATAATATAAAAAATATTTAAAAAAAATATATATGTTAATATTAATTATTAATAAATAAAAAATAATATTAAAATTGATAGTCGTAGTAATTAGTTATGACGTAATTGATGAATATACATATATATATTTTTCTAATTCACAAAAACTTGTGTATATTACATATTAAAAAACAAATACACGAACTAACAATAAAATATATTACGAAAAAATTAAAAAAGAAAATATGATAATAATTATTATTATTAATAAATAAAGAATAATATTAACATTGATAATAGTAATAATTATTTGTGACGTAATTTGGGTGAATATATATACATATGTGTATATATTGTTTTGGTTTACGACTAACTTGTGTATGTCACATATCAAAAAACAAAAACAAATACAACAACCGAATAATAAAATACACTAAAAACCAAACTTTAAAAGAAAAGTTAATAATTATTAATAATTATTGATAATTATTGATAAATAAAAAATAATATTGAAATTGATAATGGTAATAATTATTTATGACGTAATTGATGAATAAATATATATATGTATATATTGTTTTGGTTCACGACTAACTTGTGTATATCACATATCCAAAAAACAAAAACAAATAAAATCGAACGAACAATAAAATGCACTAAAAACAAAACTTAATAAAAAAGAAAATTAATAATTATTAATAAATAAATAAAAGAAAAAAATAATATGAAAATAGATAATAAGTAATAATTAATTTATAAACTTGTAAAAATTGTTTAACACACGAGATATAATTATTATTCCGTTTTTAGTACCTGGCGAACAAACTCAGCACGCGACACTCACGTCTTTGAAAGGAGCCAGTTAGGCACTGTGAGAAACACCTTCCTCCTCCACTGGTAGTGGTGGTGACGGTAGTAGTGGTAGAGGTAGGGTAAGGTAGTGGTAGTGGTAGTGGTAGTGGTAGGGTAGTGGTGGTGGTGGTGATGGTAGCGCCTCTATGCGAGTGGTGGTAAAGTGATTGCTATTGCTATCACAACGATGACAACTACTACTACTACTACTACTACTACTACTACTACTACTACTATTATACAATGATATAATAGTAATAATACTGAAGTATAACACTGCAATGATTGAATAAACGAGAGAGAGAGAGAGAGAGAGAGAGAGAGAGAAAATAGAAGCAACTATTCGAACCACGTGGTCCTGCGCAGATGGGAGTGACTAATACCGCCCTGTACCACCCCTTTTACCACCTCTTGTACCACCTCTTGTACCACCCCTTGTACCACCCCTTGTACCACCCCTTTCACCACCCATTCACCAGTATCGTGAGAAGGGTGAAACTCGACCTTCCCATCTGACCAAGGTCAAGCTTTGTTAATACTACATTTATGAATATTTTGATTTCTATTTTTTTATTAATTTAGAAACTTTTGTTGAATTAAGAAGTAGATAGAGGGGAGGAATTGATATTCAACCCCTTGATCTATTTGAACATCGGTCGCGCGCTGTGCCATTCAACTGTTCTGTTGCGTACCCGCTCGTTTAAAACACATATTCTTTATCACGAGTCAGACTCGTGGTGTTAGCTTATGGCACAAATTCTTTACCACGAGTCAGACTCGTTGTGTTCGGTTTAGGGTAGAAATTTTTTACCACGAGTCTGACTCGTGGTAATATAGGTCAAGAGATTGAGCATATATTTTATTTATTTTCATTTTATATATATATATACATATATGGACCGTTTATTTTGAAAGTAGTGTATAAGTCCATTTAAAAAAAAAAAAAAAATGAGATATCACGTAATTTATGCTGCATTTAATGTAAACTTTTTATGTATAACTAGTTAGTATTTAATTTCTTAAAATGTGCTCATGTTTTGTACAATTTAAAATTGGTCGATAAAAGAAATTGCCTAATCATTGCATATGAAAGTGTTGTAAGTCCAATTTCCATAGTAAAACAGAAAAAAAAAGGGAAAAAGAATTTCCTATAGAAATCACAGGATTATTATGATTTAATAACACAATGTAGAAAACATAATAAATTTATTTTACATGAAATAAAACAAGAGGATTTTGTTTCAACAAAAAATCTTCCAAATGCAGTCGAAAAACAAATAAGAAAAAACACTAATGGAGAAAAGGTAAATTGGGTTAAAAATATGTTCGATGAGGTTTCTTAAAAGTGCATCATACACTACTTTGTATAAAACATCGATGAAGGACAAATAATTTAAAACTGTAAATTACCTAGACGTCCTAAAAAATCGGTAAAATTTGAAAAAATAGCTCTGGCACCTTTGTACCAAGATGTCAGACCTATTAGTTATGAAAAATATAAAGATATCAAGTAATTATTACCTTACATACCTCTTGTGCATCATGAATATTTCAAAACACTGTCATATACAGAGCACAAGTAAATACTACCAATATCTTGCAATTTTAACAATGCAATTAACGTCTAAAATTAAAAATACTGCTTCTATTTTACGTCTTGTCATTATTTGTAAACAAAATTGAATTAATATAAAGTATATTTGAAATAATATTTGATTTGTCAAAATTGAAATTAAACGATTTTTACAATTGTTTCATTTTGAAAGTGATGTTAGTTCATTTACAGCCAGTAAATATACATTAGTTTAGTCAAATTCAGTCTAAAACAAATTTATATAACAAAATGACATATTGATAAATCAGTAGAAACATTGCCAGTCTTTATATAATTTGCCTAAATTTTTTAATTAACAGATATACTAACCTTTAATTTTCTCGAAACAAGAGAAAGTAGATTTACATCATTTTCAAAATAAACGGTCCTTATATACATACTACGTGCCCAGGCATGTATTTTTATGTATTTACTGGTATTTAAATATAATATTAAACTATTCAAAAAATAGAGTCAAATTAATATTCACCTTTGTAAATAATTCATGTAATATATTTAAAATTTTTTTTTTTATTATAAATTATATATATTGTATAATAAATTATTTAATAAATTAAGAAATGAAATTAAAATAATACACAAAATTTTGCAGATAATTATTATTTTGTAGTAAAATATAACTACAAAATGATACTACAATTAGGATAAAATACACACACACAAAAAATAGAAAAAGTAAGGTTATGTTTTATATAAATCTGAAAAATGCTTGTGAATTATTTGAAATAATTCAATTGAAATATCACGCCATCTATTGAATATTTATACAACCTAGAGACTTAGATAACCTCTAAACAATAAATCCATAAATTAGCAATAACAAATAAAAAAAAAAAATAATTGCAATAAAAACAATCCTATATTTAAAGTTGGAACAAATCACACAAAATAAAATAAAATTCCATTAACATTGATCAAGTGATTTCGAATTTATAAATAAACAAATATTGTAACACTTTATTTATATGTATATATATATTGTTCAGTATCAAATATTGTATATTTAATATGCAAGTTCCCTCTCTTTTCTTTTTTTAAGCATACGTCTTGCACGCATTTTATTTCTCTGTTCTTTTACATAACACATTCCTAATTATCTAGAACCCACATGGACTCTATTTATCCTAAAATACACACATTCTATCGCAACGGGCACATTTTCTTTCTTTCAGTCATTAATATCCTAAATAAAAATCCTTTCGATATATCCCATCTTACATCATTCGTTCCTTTATCGACTCGCTTCATCTCATAAACACGTACACAATTAGCTATCACTAAATCCTTAAATACTTTATCTCACACACATACATATGTGCATTTGTAACATTATACAGCTTTCTTAAATCATCCACACTAAACCTTCAGGCCAGTCTTTCTTCAGCATTCATTCTTTATTCTTTCTTGAACATTCATACAGTTCATACCAAGCATTCAAACAATTGTAACATAGTCGCTAAGACTTAAATAATAAATTAATTGTTAACTAAAGAACTGCTTTTAAAATTACTAAAAAACCACTCACACCTTATTAATTTACTGTCGTGTGATTTCCGTACAAAACGTGCGTATAATTTCAACGTAAAGAATTTGTACGTTAGTTTGAAACGGATTCGCGTTAGCATACATACAGTGCACATAAACTGATATAAATTAATGAAATGTTTAATGAATCAAATTGATTCAGTTCGTAAATCCAGTGTGTTTAATTTCTTATAGTAGAATATGTAAAATATTGATATTATATTTCTCATGTTAGAATAAAAGTATGTTTTTATTTGATTTGACGTAATACATATCTCTTTAGGAAATCGTTCGTCGGCTTTAAAGTTTGAGCTTTAAGAGTGGAACGAGAATCGACAAGAAGAGGAAGTCCCTAAAGTGTTGCTTCTTTGATTCCTAACTTGCATCTCGCGTGTGTATATGGGCGATTGATACACAAGTCTTTTAACAATTCGATATAATAAGAAGAAAGATTTCTATATGAGTTTCATATATATTTTATTTTATTTTATTTTATTTGCTATTCTTATGGTTATATTTTAGTTTATTTTATATTCTATTACTTGAAATATATTATAAAAAGAAGGAACGAATCGCGTTCAGCTTGTTTTTTTATCTTCAAGAATAAATATAACCTAAAAATTTTTTGTTTTATTCTATGTTTTTATAAATATTACAAAATAAGTTATGTTTATAGGATGAATAGATATTTTGAAAATGATTAATGTCTATTTTTCTTTTTTATTTATTTTTTTTTTTTTCAAATGATATATCACATTATTTGTGATCAATTTAGTGTAAACTTTGTTTATTTCTAATTGGTTATTATTTAATATCTTAAAATATACTAATATTTTATTGTAATGAAAATTGGTCAATAAAAGAAAATTGCATAACGATTGATTATAAAATTGGTGTAAGTCCCATTTTCATAGACTTTTAAATTATGTTAAAAATTGTTCAATTTTACTTAACAAAAATTTAAAGAAAATAACCTTAATTCAGTTAATTAATGAATAAACAAGGGAAAATCTTTAAATAATATTTCAAGTTACATTTCCATAAATATATTAATATAATTAACGTTTAAAATGAAAGATACTACTTTTGTTATTATTTATAAACGAAATTATAGATTAATACAAAATATATTTAAAGTTATATTCAATTTTTTATCATCGAAATTAAATGATATTTATGAAAATAGTAAATATATATTATTTCAGGTAAATTCACCTAGAAAATAAATTTATATAATAAAATTACCTTATTGATAAGTTAAAAGAATATTGACATACTTGATATAAATAATTGATATTTTGAATTGATTAATATGATAACCTTTTTTTAATTTTCTCGAATCAACAGAAAATGGAATTGCACCACTTTTAAAATAAATAATAAAATATATACAGTTAATGTAGAAAGTATTCTTACACCGATCAGTTTGAAATAAAATGCTGCAAAATTGTAGTTTATTAATTAATTTTTTATATTCAATGAATTTGTACATATTCATGAATATTTCTATAATAGATATAATGAAATAACAAAATCATTTTTTTTCAATAAAAAATGCATTTCTCTATGCATTCGTCTCATTCTCTCGAAGCTCTGTTTTTTTGTTTTATTTATGTAGGAGAGTTTTAAGTGTAGAAGAATAAACATTTCAAAGCAGATAGGCGACGAAAAAATAAAAGATAAACGAACCAATATTCGGAATAAAGAAAGATGGTGTGTGGTCTGCTTTGTAAGTTGTGTAAGTTGTGTGTGTAATTCTGTGTGAGCTGGAAGGTTTTCGAGCGACATCAATGCTTTGTTTATTGCATCGGACCGGGCGTTTGGAAAATTCAAGAACCGCATG